ATATATAACCAGTTAGTGTCTGAACTAGGACTATAATTAAAGTTTCAAGTGCAGGGATCTTTCTGCTACTGTCCTAAAATGGTCATTGCCATTGCTTGGACAAGAAAAGTCTTTATAAGGAGCCATCTTAGGCAACAGAAAAAGGAAACTTTTTCTTCTCTAGGATGAGAAGAACTGCCTGTTTGCTTTGTTTCTGCATCTTCAGTTCACAGAGTAAAAATCTCAGACTTTTGAGGTAGTTAGTCCAGTCTTCTACCCATGAAGGCAAACCCTTTATACTCTCCTTACAGATGGTCATCTAATTTCTGCTTGAATCCTTAAAGTAAGAGGAAACTCACTTTATTCTTAGACATCCCATTCAGATGAGGGAGAGCATTTTTTGAGATAGGACAGGTCACTTTACCTCTGTGGTTCTCCATTTCTTTTACTATAAAATGAGGAGGCTGGACTCAATGACTCCAATGGGCCCTTTCAACTTCTATGTTCTGTGTTTTAACATTCTATGTTCTAGGGCTTATTCCATCTCTTAACATTATAGGATTCTATGTTCTCTTATAACAGTGGTCCTATTGCAGGGGTCTAGATATATACTGATATTGAAGTAGAAAAGGGGAAGAAAAACACATTTTTACTCTTTTTGGGATCTGAGGTTTACAAGGAATCTTGGCAGTTGAGTAATGAGGATTAGTCAGCCTCTTCCTAGCCTTGTCTAGGCCACAGGGTAGGACTAAGAGGGGAGAGGAGGTTGTTTCACTTCCCAAATCACTTCTCTTTCCAACCCTCTGACCCAGATACCTGGGAGTTTGGGGTTAGGCTTACTGACTCTGCTAGTGGTTTGACCTGACACCAGCCAGAGTACCTTGTGTGTAGCTAGTATTCGGGAATCTCCAATGTAGGTGGGACATTTGGGGGATCGTTTAGACCTCAAGATTCACTGCAACCTCCCTGAGACGCCTGGAAGAGATGAGATGATTCTGGTTCTCTTCTTTTACACTTGTAGTTCAGGTAGGATAGTGGCCTCTTCTAGCCCCTACTGTCTGCAGGCAGCATGTGAAGCCCTAGTTACTGGAAGCTATTTTTAATCAATCTAGATGTTTCTGGGTCACTCTGTGCCAGGAATAACAGAAAAGCTTATTAATAAGAAATATGAAATGAGATTTAGCTAAGCTGATTGCTGCTAAAAAGAAAAAAACCTGCACATTTCCACACTTAATTTTTCTGTGCTTAAAAAAACCCCCACAGTATAAACAGCTGTTGCTTGTATCTACCACGGTGGCTTTGGGTCTGTCTCTTTGGGACTTGCTACTAGCTTAAGAAGTACCTATTTTCTCACTTTCCTCCTAATCTTTTTTTTTTTTTAAATCCAAGTACAGTGCCAAGTTTACTTTTTATTTAGGCAAAGCTCCAGTCCAAGTCATGAAATAGCAACAAGCTACTCTCTTAGCTTTGACTCCAGGGTTCTTCACTGAAGTGGCCCTGATATGACGGAGCTGAAACAAGGGTGAGGTTATAAGTAGAATTAACTCTTTTTCCTTCTTGTACTGGAGTGTCAGCAACCAGAATAACTGTTCTATTTATCGGTTGGCCTCTTAGGGTATTTCTCTGGTATTAATGGATCCAATCTCAGGTTTGAAAAATGGAATGTTAGCTGAACTGTTAGCTTAGTGTCTGGGGCATTTGCTTATAAGGCCAGTGTCACAGGACCAATCCCTGTGTTTGGGGACTATTAACTTTGTAAAAGAGAACTTGATTTTGAGAGTATATATATATCTATATATCTATATATATAGATATCTCTATATATCTCTATATTTTTTTTAGTGAGGCAATTGGGGTTAAGTGACTTACCCAGGGTCACACAGCTAGTAAGTGTCAAGTGTTTGGTCTGAGGCCAGATTTGAACTCAGGTCCTCCTGACTTCAGGGCCAATGCTCTATCCACTGCACTACCTAGCTGCCCCTAGAGTATAGATTTTAACCCTGCCTCACTATAGCTAGCCTACTCACAAATTTCTACCATAAGCAGAAAACGACATTACATTCTTTGGACTTGGCCAATGCAGAAATTAATTCTATTTGATCATTTATATGTTAGAAGGATTTTCTTTTTCTTTTTTTCCCGCAATGGTGAAGGTAGGTAGGAGAGAGAGAAAAGAGTCTATTTTCATCATTGAAAAAAGTTAATCTTAATTTTTTTATTATAGGTCATAGAAGTGTGTAGGTGAAAGAAAGAGAAAAAACGGCTTATTCTTATTTTTTTTTAGAAAAATAACTAAAAGTTCCTGTTAATTGGGCTAGAACTGGCCTCTCAGCTGTGAATGGCTGCAGCGAAACAAAGCAGGCCAAAGGCAGGTGTGTCAGGAATCAAGTAGCAGTTTAATTTATTTCAGAGTGAGGAAACTTGCAAGCAAAGCCCCCCATTCCTGAGAGGGAGGACTGAACATGCTGAGGCAAAGGCAGAGCTTATATACATAAAAAACACAAGGGGGCTGGATCACAACACAATCATTCTTACGTCTTGAGTAGCAGTTTCCATGGTTGGCATTTCTTGGTACAGGTGTTCTTCAGTTCTTCAGTTCAGGAACAGTCTCTAAGTTGCATAAGGGTTGTTGAGCCTTGTGATCATTCAAGCAGGATACAGAACCAGAGTTAGTGTGGCAAGAATAGGAGTGCAGTATCTGGTTTGGTTCACTTGGCAGTTACATAAGCACAGGGATTGTGAGCATGTCAAGAGATGTGATGGAGGGCTTTAGGTTGTAGCACGTCACCTGCTTCTGGTTCTCAGGTCTCTGGGAAATAGGGGGAGCTCCAACAAATCTAAACAGTTATTAATTAATATGAAAATCATAAATTTCCTCAGTGAATGCCTGGTGTTGGTCAAAGCAATACACTGCTAGAGGGTGAGATCATCCAGAGCACAAAGGATTGTCATTATGCCAAGCTTAGGACACAGCCTGCTTTTGCTGGGCCTTAGCTCTGGGAAACTGGGTATCTCCAAATATCTTGACATTCCTATCCTATCATAAGAGAACATTTATTTGCTCAGGCTACCTCCTTGCCAGGAATATCCTTTCTCTGTTGTTCTCTTCTCATCCATGTGCATCACATTTTTTATGACCTCTATTCCAATTTGCTTCTATCCATCAGCCTTTCTTTTTCAGGATCACCCTGATGCCATCAACCTGATGGCACAGTGGAAAGAAAAGTGGACTTGGAATCAGGAAGACCTTGATTCAAATCCAACCTCAGACACTTTCTAGCTCTCTGAACCTGGGCGAGTCTTTGTGCCCCGGTCATCTCATCTCTAAAGTGAGGAGGTTGGACTTGATGACCTTGAAGGTTCTTTACAGCTTTCAATCTTTGTTCCTATTGTTTTTGTAAGCTATTCCTAATTTGTCCATGGAGAAGCACTTATCTTCTCCAGTCTTGTATTTCCAAACAAACTATGAGCCCCTCAAAATCAGAGACCATCATCTACTTCCTTTACCTCTCCCATAGCATACAGTGGATACTCAGGAAGGTATACTCACCTAGTACAAGGGTGGATACACAGGAAGTATCTAATGAATGCCTAGTGAAATCAATTGTATTTAGACATCTAGAACACAGGCCATGCTTTGGCCTTATGCTTAAGTATTGCAGAGCTTATGAGAGAACTAAATTCTTAATTTCCCTCTTTATTTCTCATATAATAATAAATATTGGTTGAATTAATTGAGTTCCCTTTTCTCCCTGACTTCTTTTTTTGTGTGTTTATGTTTGTATTTATACACTAATGTTTTATATACCATTGTATTGTGCATTGTTTTCATTAGCCACAAACTATTCCTTTCCATCTGGCAGTCAGTGCCTCTTTCACAGGATTAATATAAAAACATGCATTTGTTTTATTAATAAGAACAGTCCGAAAAGGCTAACATTCTCTAAAGGCAATATGGTGTAGTGAGTGAATAGACAGCCAGCCTCTGAGTCAGTAAGACCTAGATTCAAATCCCCCATCTGGCACACATTGGCTGAAACTAAACCTCTCAGTGCTCTGGGCCACTCTCTTAAAATTCTTAAGTTGCAAAGAAAGTACCAAGTCTACATTGGTGGAGGCAATTTCCTATGCTAATGTAATCAAAGGTCCAGTTCCTGTTCCTAAAGGTAAATGAGAGCATGTTTGGAGAACAAAAATCTCACTGGGAAAGTTTATGTTCAAAGGATGATGCTGATGCTGATGTTGATATTTTTAGCATGAGAGTATTTTGAAGGCAGAAAATAAAATTGAAATAACAGTAGGAAGTTTGTAATGTCTTCACTGACACATCTGTCAGTATTGCTTATGGAAAATGGGTCATGTTTCATTAAGTTTACTGATCACTTAACACAGAGACACATTGTAACCACAAAAAAGTACCGTTTTTTAGAAATGTTGTCTTGGAGCCATTATCAACTATAGATTTCCTCTGGTGGCAAGCCGTTCAGTATTCCCAGGTACGCTTCTGTTTCATGCAAAAGATGTGATTCCCTTCAATGACAGAGCACCCTGCCTTTCTCTGCTATCCTGTCTCATAGTTAAAAGTAAAAGCCCAGTCAATTGGACAAAGCCAGCTGCCTTGGTTTATAATCAAAAACATATTTTAAAAGCATAGTTCCAGTGATTACTTTCCACATAAATGTATTGACATTTCCCTCTAGCCTTCTCTATTTCTTCCTGAGCCATCACTAATACTACACAAACCAATTTCACCAAGTATTGACTTTTATCGCTTATCGCCTAGCCGGAATACTCTCTCTTTTAGGTCTTGCTATCAGGGCTTACTCAGGTTCTCACAATCTTTTAAAAAAATTCTCTCCTCTCCCCGCCCCCATCGCTAGCCTACTTTGTATACAAGTCCATATTCTCTGTACTCTCTGCTGGATTCTGTAGTGACCATTTCATTTCCTACCTTTAAGGGTCTCAAAAACTTCACAACCTAAGAAAAGTTCTGTAGGTGTATATGTTTGTGTGTCTCACAGTCCACAGAAAGAATCTGAAAAGCAGGACAGCTTCATTGATCCTTCTGGAGTTCAGATGGAAGAAGAGTTGAATGAATTTTCTCTTGGAAGCCTGGAGTCCTATAATGGGATCAAGATACAAGACCTTCCCACAAGAAGAACTGAGTTTTTAAGCCCCTCAAGAAAACATATGGGTAAGAGAGTATTTAGTATAATTTCTTGGATTGAAAGATCTGTTATGGACCCACCATATGACCTGGGATAAGCCATTTAACCATTTTTTTTAATCTCAATTGCTGCATCTCTAAAATAGCCATAATCATCCCTTTGTAAACTTGCTATAATGAAAATGAATGAATGAATTGATGTTTGAGAGAAACTGATGTTTGATGCTGAGGTTCTAAGAATGAGTCAGATAATCAACCTGCATTATTTTCATTTCTTTAGAGGAAAAGTGCTATCTAAATATAAGACACTGTTGATCCAACTGAGGCTAGATCTAGGAAAAGGCTTACATAGTGATTAGTTGCCAGTGTTAACTGAATAGTAAACAATGCTGTTATTAATAATTTCAAAGCCAGTAAATGTCTAGGGGGAAGATGATTTGGTTAATTTCTTTTTCTATAGTGGACTTGCAAAAAGCATTACACTAAAGTAAATAAACATAGATACATTTACCTTGACATTCTGCATTTGAACCATTTAATAGCTTAAGGCTTAAAGCAGATTTCCTCATCAGCTCAATTAACTTTGCCACGTACCTTACCCTGGACAACTTTCTTTTACTCATGGATGGTTCAGTGCAAATTCATGCTTTCTGCTGGTGAACCATCTCTGAGGAGGCCACAGCTAGGGATTTTTTCTATGAAATAAACTAGCCATACAAGGATAAAGCTTGCTGCCCTCATGAGTCATTGTGCTCTATTCATTGAAATAACTAGCCCTGGACATATTTCAACACAGTTATGGAGCAGTGGTCTACAAAGTGGGAATCATGGCTTGACAGGGAATTGTGGCCTGACCACAAAGGATATAGGACCAGCCAACCAGAGGATAGGAAGATGGATGGTATCTCACCCAATGATAGTCAGTTTTGAGGGCTTGCCTCCAACACAGCCACACCTCCACTTATCCACTAGTATCCCCCACCTTGGCCCCTTCCCTCCACTGAGCAAACTCCCACTTCTGAGTCAGGCATTGGCCCCTCAGGGTAATTATAACCTAACCATACCTCCAAGCACCCAAACAGCAGGTGTAGCAGGTGAAGTTGGGAAAATTCCATTCTCCTCCCTCTCTGCCACAGAGTACCTGGTGGCCACTCTGCTCAAGGTAGAACAGAATGAGTGAGTCTCCCCGAATGAGTAGGCATGAATGGGTTGTGATTTGCACCTCAGATCTCATTACATTATCCTTCCCTGCCAAATCCACTCTTCTTCCAAACTCCCTTATATTTGTTGAGGTCTCCATCCTCCTTCTGATCACTCAAGTTTACAACCTAAGTGTAGTTCTTAATTCCTCATTCTCACTCACCCCACATATCCAACCAGTTGCCAATTCTTTTTTTAACCTCCACAGTATTTATCCCCTTTTCTCTCCTCACATAGCTACCAATGTAAACCAGGCACCCATTACATTTGCCTCAACTAGTGCAATAACTTCCTAATTGTTTTTCCTGCCTCAAGCCCCTCTCTTTTACCCACCCTTCACACATTTGCCTAACTGATTCTCCTCAAGTACACATCAAACCACAAATAAACTCCAGTGGCTCCTTATTGACCATAGAACAAAATACTATTTCATCTTTATATATCTCATCCTTTTAAATATGTATTTTCTGAGTGTTTTATAATGTACATGATTAGTGTAGTAACACTCAAAATAATTCAATAAATAAATTATAGACATGTTGAGGATACAGCTCAAAGTTGTTTTTTTTTTCTTCACTAATAGAGGTACAAACTCAAAAATAATTTGGAGCCCACTGCTGTAGAGTATTCCCTGCACTATCATTGCAAACTGTGGAACCCTGTCCTCCTGGTCAGCAAGCTTATTGGTAGCTTCTAACAGTTAAATAGTGACATTGTGTGATCTAGGAGGAACCTACTGAATCTATAGGGAACTGATATTTACACTGTTAGAGATCAGAAAATTGGTTAGTAGACATCAGCTGCTGTTCATAATAAATACATCCCTTCTTTCTCCTCCTGTAAATGATCAATCGCTGCTAAAAGAGTTGCCCGCTGTAAGAGGCAGAGTGGTAAAATAGATTGAGCCATCATGGAAGTGAAGGTAGGGGAATACATGACACATACTAGCTGTATGACCACGTGCAAGTCACTTATACTCCTAGTGTCCCCAAGAATATGAGTGATACAAATGTTAGCTGCCTTCATCTGTGGAGAGTGAGTGTTCACACAAGTTACAGAGCAATTGAAGATCTGCACTGGTGGAAGGAGTTTTTGCACCAGAACTTTTACATACTGGTGGAATCAGAGGGTATGGGTGACAGGATTCCAAAGGCAACAGAGAGCCAGATGAAAATTTCCATCAGTTAGGTTTGGGAAATCTTAAGGGCTATCTGGCATACACAGCAATTCTTACTTTCGAAATGAACACATAAAGAAGGAAAGAAGGTAACTCAGTAGGGTGGGAAGAGCCAGGGAAATGGAGTCAGCACACCTGAGTTCAAATCTCTTTTTAGATACTTACTAGTTCTGTGACCTTGGGAAAGTCATTTAATCATTTACCTCAGTTTCCTCAGTTGTAAAAAATGGACTTGAGAAAATTCCCTGCCTATTTCACAGGGTTGTTTTGAGGCTCAAGCGAGACAATGTATATATAATAACGCTTTGTAAAGTACAAAGCAACATAGAAGACACCCTGTAAAATGTGAATTTTTAAAATTATTATTTATTATTAATACCTTGCGTAAATTACTTAATCTTTCTGGGCCTCATGGAGACTATGATATATTTAAGTACAACGAAGGAAAAGTTTTTAAAACAGATCTACAGTAACTTCTTCATAGTGTTAGTGGTGCCTTTAATGCCTAGCTACCTATCTGTGAAAATAAAACGAGTCATTGAACCTAAAAGTGGTTTGAAAAATGGAAGTCTTAGTGTATCAAAAGATAAGAAGTGAGCAAGTTGGTTGCTTGGAAGGGTTAAACAAGAACAGAATGAGTGAAGGCAGTTTTGCTCCTGGGAGACCTTCCTTTGCTTTGACCAAATCATAGCAGATGGCACATTGTTTTAGGAGCTTTAGGGAGACAGAAGAACAAGCTCAGACAACCTGTCCCTTGATAGATACTTGGGCGGGAGGAAGTTCTTGCTCTTACCCAAGGTTTCTTCAGTTACTTCTCTGAGAAGAAAATGAGTTTGTACTGTCAGCTGGGCCAGGTGTGTGAGTGGCTAGCACCACTGGAGAAGAGTACTAGGGTACAGGGGGCCCAGACAGATTGTGCCTTTTTTTTTTTTTTTTTTAGCAGTTGGGGTTAAGTGACTTGCCCAGGGTCACACAGCTAGCAAGCGTCAAGTGTTTGGTCTGAGGCCGGATTTGAACTCAGGTCCTCCTGACTTCAGGGCCGGTGCTCTATCCACTACACCACCTAGTTGCCCCTGGATTGTGTTCTTTTTAAGGAATGGTGTTCACACTGGTCAGTCTGTATTTTGTGTTGTGGGAAGTCTCTATAATATACGGTCACTTGCTGTTGGTGTCCTGGCCCTGAAGACAACATTTTATACATAAGCTAACATAATTACCTTGACATTCCTTATTGGAACCAGTTAGCTTGAGGGTTAGAGTCCTTCTTTAGCTCAGTTAACTTTGCCACACACTGTGCCATGGCCAACTTTAGTCAGTTACTGTAGGGTGAAAACTCTCACATGGAGACCTGAGGAGGAGAGGATGAGGAGGAAAAAGGAGCCAGTTGAATAGCTGACCTTCTGGCCCAACTTTCTGGCTAAGACATCACCCATTCATTGAATATATTTAAATGTATTGAAATGCAAGAAATAATTATATCTGTGGGTAAACTCTGGCATTTGCTTTTTTCTTCATCGAGATCTAATAGAGTTATCCTTTCCACATCTCAACTCTCCCCATCATCGGCATAAGAAATTAAATGGGAATTTTGGGGGAGTTTTGTGGAAGCCAAAGATGACATGTGAAGGGCAGCAGATGACACAGAAAAAGTTTAGAAACTTAGAAATGCCTAAAATACATATGTATTGTGTAATATCAACCCAAATTTTATAGTAAGTTATTGTAAATATCCCATAAAAGAAAAATTCAGACTTCTTCTCTGGTATGATTTTGCCCCACGATGTGGAAGGGATAACTGTACTACAACATACCTATGATCTCAGTTATTTAGGTATTTCCTCCAGTAATATAGATGGCAACCTATCTATGTTGCTCAACCTGTCCATATCCTTCATGGGGGGTAGTTTGCCCAGTCTATTGGGGATCTTTCTTGAGTTCTCTTGACATCCTGCATATTCAGGCAATATATCCACATTCCATCAATGGTTTTGTGACTAGCCCATCTTTTTCAATTGATCAAGCACTGTTTATCAGTACTGAATTCATGTAGACTGCACCTCAGAGTTTTCAAAGTACTTTACATTCATATCTTACACGATAAAACAAGTTTGGGAGACAACCTATCCAAGTACTATTATCCTCATTTCATTGTGTGGTCCAGGAAATAAGACTGCTTCCTGAGGACCACCTAGCTAAGTTCAGAGAGATTTATCATTAAGTTGGTCAACCCACCATTTGGTAATGATAAATTCTTGGGTCATGGCAACTCATGAAATAAAAAAAACAACCAAACTACAAAATGGTCCTCAGTCCTGTGTGACTCCCTTCAACTTCTTTAGTACATAGCAAAGAAGCAGGGCAGCAGGGCAGGAAGTGAGAATCACGAATATTTGGGGATCTGCATTTTTGGAGAATATACTCAGATCACAAATCTATCGGTCAATTAGAATGTGATTAAGGAACATGAGGAACAAAGACTGTGATTTGCCCAAGATCACACAACGTCTAGATGGTGAACCAAAATTTTCAGACTTTTAATGTCCGATACTTTTTTTTTTTTTCATTTTATTACATTGCCTCTGGGGTGCCTACTCAGGAATATGAGGCTGTGGACTAAGTACTGCTTAGTGAATGACTCTTCAGGTTATAAGGTAGATCTAAGAGTTTTTATAAAGTGTCCCAAGTCACTGTGATGCTTTAACTTGACCAAAAACAAACCAAAAACCAGTATAGAAACTCTTTTCAATATGTGATCAGCTAGCTAGCTTTGTGGTGAAAAGAGCATAGGTAGATTCCTATCAGCAGAGGGGGCTGCTCTCTCAATTTGAAAATCCATTAAGCACTGCTACTCTAAAATCAAAGAATTATAACTAACTATTGATTGTTATTTTTCCTGAGATAGATATTTAAAGGATGAGAGCCCCCATACCATTTGTTTTTTTCTTTAAAAAATCATTTAAAAATATTTCTTATTTTTTATTCTGAAAGTAACAAACACCAATTCGAATGATCATTTGTATAAACATAGAACAGAAAAAGAGGATTGTACATGAAACTGCAGGTCTATTATGTACTACTTGCTTTTCTTTTTAAGTAAATAGTAAGATCATCCTGCAGTCATCAGTAGAAAAACCCTTGTGAGTTAACTATTTCTTTCCTTTTCAATGATGTCGTTATGAAATAACTAATTAGACCCAGAGTCCCAGGATAGGCAAGCTTATCCCCAGTGTGGGGATTTGAGCCCAGTGTATAGGGGCTCTTAGCCAGTTTCTATCCTCTTCCTTTCCCAGAGAATAAAATAGGTATGATATTCCTTTCCTTCTTCCTCACTCCATCCATATATGCCCTTTGCAACCTGAGAGAGGCCCTCCTGACTAAATACCTGAAAAGGGAAAAAAAAATAAAACAAAAATCCTTTCATCCATTCAAGATGTCTTTAAAGGTGTCTTTATCAGGCAATGCCTATGGAGTACACTACACAAAATACATGAACAAATGAAGCAGATCACACTGGTTTTATTTACTCCTCTCCTTCCTCTCTTCCTCCTAATGTGCATGTTAGGACAGTTCAAATAAATAGGCTAGCTAGAGTTTTATAAATCTGTGCCGCTTATGAAAGGGGGAATAGGATGAGACAGTAAGTACATGGATGAGTTAGTGCATCTATCCCCACTGGGCTGGAGATGTAGCTGAGACCCCCTTCACAATCCTAAGTGTGGATCAGGGTATTATCTTTATGAAGGAAGAACAACAGATTGTTATAACTTTTTTTCATTTGAACAACAGACTTTCTTAGATTTTCATTAAGTAGTTACTATATGCAAGAATAAAATAAGATGTGAAACCTGCACTCAGGAAATTTATACTATAGTAGTGGGATAAAACATATTTGCAAATAATTATAATAATAGGGTGAAATGTGAGCAGTATAAAGGAGAGGGCCAAAGCATTAAAAGAAATTTGAGCTGGGAAAGGTAGCTTCCAGCTGGCTCTGAGATCCTGGAATGGGGAAATTCAGATCTTCTGTTATGAGGTAGACAACATTATCTTTTTAAAAGAGAAGTCAGCAGTTCAGTCCATTTGGCCATCTGATTCATTGAGAATCTGAGGCCTTTCGGGAGGTGAGAAGGTGAAAAATGACTGCTTGGAGTGTTAACTGACTGAAACCCTTGATACAAAGGGAGGCTGCTCCAAGTCTTTCGGTACCATCAGGAAAGTATAGAGTCTGAAGTTTAACTGTGAGTTCAGCTAGGATTAGGACCAGAGGATTCTCTGATGCTCCAGTTTCCCTCCAGAGGCTCTGTCCCCAGGGGAACAAGTATAAAACAGAGTTGGACTAGTGCCTGGCCAGGTGAGGAAATGAAACAACGCCTTCTTTACACTAAGCAGCAATAAGCTCTTCTGCCTCTCACTCACATGGTTCATGAGGTGTCTCCCAGGCCACCTTTTATCCCATATGCATGCTGTTGTGTTCTGGCAGAGGCCATATGTAAGCTACAATTTGCCCAAGATACAACTGCTGGATGGGCCTCTAACGCTGATGGTGAAGGGAAGGTATCTTAGGAGTACAGATCTAGAGCCCCAATCACCTTATTTTACAGATGAAGAAACTGAAGCTCTGGGGAGTGAATGAATTGCTTAAGGTCACACAGGTCATATATGTCAGAGGCAGGATTTAAATCCAGGTCCTCTGCTTCTATATATCTTTCCACTGTCTACTATACCATGTTGCTTCCTAGCAGATGGGAGAGCCATAGTGCATATGCACAAACGTGCATACATAGATGCACACGTGTGTGTGTACTCGTACATACATATAACTTTAATACATGTATGTATAAACATAGAGCAATGAAGATTAATTTGACCTCCCATTAACCTTATTTTCAAGAGAAATAAAACAAGGTGAAAATGATGCTGCAAATACATTATTCCCTTCCCTCCCCTCAGAAGGAAAGATCTCAATTGGATGCCTCTCTTATCAAAATGGCAGTATTGTTTTCACCAGGAGGGATTCACATAGGGACTGTGATTCACATAGCAACTGTGGGAGGACACGCTATTGTATGTGGTTATGTGGTTGCTAAATCAAGTGAATATTTCATTTGTACTCATATATTTGGAAAAACCCATTCTTGCCTTTTCAGATCTGCCTACCATCAGCCCCAGCAGGGCTGTTGTTGATTCTGAGATCTCAACACCTGCTGACAATAATAATAAGGACAAGGGGGTGGTCATAGAGTCACTGATAAAGTAACAACTTTTATAGTCAACTCTCAATTATTTGCAGGCAGATTATCCATCTAGCAACCTAACGGAATGTAACCTGGTTCCCACCCAGATTATTAGAATGAACCAATTTGGGTAAAATTGGGCCCTCCCTCTTGGCTTGAGCTGAGATGTTATCTCAGTCCCAACTGAAGAGCTCATTCATTTTTATATATCTTCTGGTATATTGTAATCTGTAGAATATCTCCATTTTCTGTTTGCTGTTTTGCTTGGTTAAATGGGTTTACTTGCTTTTACTATTTGTGATGGTTTCTTATGTAAGCAGCATTCAGTAGAAAGGGGTTGAGAGTCGGTGAAAGTAAGCTAAGGTGGATTTTTTCCCCTTAAGAGTGACTGGGGAAGGGGCTTCCCTTCTCAACTCAGGCTCATTTTGCCAGGTAACAGGCAAATTTTGCATTTAAGTTCCAGTTGAGTAGATCCAGTTGAATGATTCCCCTTCCTTCCTATAAGGAGATAAATAAAAACCAGCTATTATTTTCATCTCTCTAAGCCTCAGTCTTCTCATCTACAAAATTACTATAATCTCAGTTTTGTCCACCTTACTAGAGTTTTTCGAGGATCAAAATAAATCACCGCTCCAAAAAGGACTGTTGTTTATATCTCTCCCACATTCTTCTCCTCATCCATATAAATGCCACCCCAAGTTCAAGCCCTCATCAACTCTGATGAGCTATTGTAATAGCTCTAATTGGTCTCTCTGCCTTACATTTCTTGTCACTTCAATTCATCCTCCAGAGTGATTTTCCTAAAGCATAGTTATGATCATATTATTCCCTTACTTAATATACTCCAGGGGCTCCCCATTATCTCTAGAATCAAATATAAACTCCTCTATTATATGAAGTCCTTCATAATCTGGTCATCAAACAACTTTTCTAACCCATTACATATTTCTCTGCTTCCCACACTGCAGTATAGCCAAATTGCTTTCTTGATGTTCTTCATAAATGGCACTCCACCTCCTATGTCCAAGCCTTTGTCCAGGCTGCCCCAAATGCTAGGAATGTATTCCCCCCTTCACATTCACCTATTAGAATCCATAGTTTTTTTCAAGACTCAGCTCAAATACCTCTTTCTATATGATGAAGTCTTTATTAATCTCTTCAGATGCTAGTATTCTCACTTCCAAAATCATCTTGTATCTGTGTTCTGTGTGTATCTGTATATAAATATGTTGTCTCCCTTGAATAGAATATGTCTTCTCAAGGGAAAGGGCTTGTTGGAGTTACGGTCTTTGTCTCCTCAACATCTAGCATGGTGTCTGTCACTGAGTAATTAAAAAGGATTGTTGATTGATTGGACCAAAATGTATAAAAGCCCCTTTTCTATGAGGGCAGTGGTTATTAGTTGTTTTTTTATAGGTGTTACTTGTTCATCTTCGGTTTCCATTATTTTTCAGAGGGATATGAACATGGCAACAAATATTTCAATGATGCCTGCATCAACTATCTAAGCAGTGTGCAACAGAAATCTCTTGACTTTCTTCAGAAAATGAAGGTATGATTTAGTTTCCTAGGAATTTTTTCCATATTCCCTTAGGTAACTGTCTGCTAATGTGAGGTTATAAATATTTTCTTTTTTAATGTAAAAGTCATTTTTATAAACTAAAATTGTTTCTGGTTTCTTGTCTCATTCTAAAACTTCTCCTTTGTTAGCTCTGACATTGGCCTTTAACATTCCAAAACATTAAAACCTCAAGTTATGGGGAAACTAAAATACTTTTTGACTATTTTGACCTTATGAATTAAGTAGGAAGCTGTTTTCCTCATGCTTCCTTTGAAATGGAAGAAACTTGGAAACATTGGGCAGCATTATTTAATACATCACAAAATCTCAGATGATATAATAGAAAGAGTGTTGAGCTAGAAATCAAGGCTAGGTTTAAATCCTTGTTCTGCCAAGCCAACTTCTGAGACTCAGTTTCCTTACCTGTAGAAGGAGGGATTTGGACTAGAAGACCCCTGAGGTCCCTTCCAGCTCTAAATCTATGATCCTGGTCTAAGACACATCTGAACAGTAATCTCCTCTGCTTGGGGACCTGTAGTGATAGGCAACCCACTACTTCCAGTAGCAACGGGACTTTGGGGTAGCTCTGACTATAAGGAAGTTTTCCTTTCCATTGAGCCAAAATCTGTCTCTGCTACTTCTACTGATGGTCCTATTATGCCCTCTAGACCTGATTATAGCAAGATAAATTTCCCTCCTCTAAGTATTTCTTCAAATACTTGAAAACAGCTCTCCAATTCTACCCAAATCTCATCTTCTTCTGGTCTCCAGTCTCCCATTCTATTCCCTTCTCGGGATACATTCCAGTTTAACAGGGTCAAAATATCATTGAGAAAATTTTGGAAACTGTATTATTTAGACATAAATACTGCTGGGAAAGGCTGTAAAAATGTAAAGGTTATTTTTCAAAAAGGGAAGGGATAGAATGTAAAATAGTGATGGAAGCTATGATTTTATTTCAATGGGCTGTAGTTATCCTGAGGGCCCAACTGGTAGATAAAATCCTTTTCTGGGCAAAGGGGGAATTGTTTTTTTTCAATCAATCAATGAAGAAGCATTTATTAAGTGACTTCTATATGCCGAGCATTGTGCTTGGTCACTGGGGATACAAGTTCCTTCTTGGCCCATGAAAGAGAACTTGAGATGGAAGGCTGCTCTCCCCTCTGAAAAGTATCCCCCTTGATTCCATATCTGAACATCTGCAAAATTTGGGAAGTTAGAGCAAGTGACATCTGCATCCCAGCCTTCTCATGGCCTATTGGGTTTGGAGTTCAATGATGCTTCATTGAGAGAGATGTCTCAGGACTGTTTTGATCTTTTTCCTCATCTAGTTGCATCAGATCACACAGGAGAGGGAGTTAGAAATTCTAAAGCAGAAAGCAGAACTGGAAGCTGAAGAAACTCAGAAATCTTTGGATGAATTGGTCTTTAGGAATCATTTAAAGGTAAGTCCTAAGGTGGGCAAAGTATTCCTCTTTCGTGGTTCAGTTCTAAAGAGGTTATTCATTGATTACTATTCTTAGTGGAAAAAAAAACAATTACAAAACTCTTACTTTTGCATGTCTACTCTCAAGGTTAGTTTTGTTTCAAGTCACCTTTTTCAAAGTTATATGTATATGAAATATTTTCTAAGCCTGCTTTCATGATGTAAAATTCAAGACTTATGAGATTCAAACATACTTAAAATATGCAAATGTGCTTTCATTTATTAGTGACTACAGGTAAGCTCTTGCTTTAAAATAAAGCTTTGGAAACAGATATATCAATAGATGCTTCAGTGGATCTGCTACCTCATCAAAGTAGATATTCTCTCCAGTGGTGGATATAGTAACCCACCCATATCTTCTCATGTGATATAACTCTTGTTATATTGCATAAGTCCTTCACAGAAGTCTACCTACCCAAACTGCTGCAGCAATTCTTGTAGATTTCTTGAGGTTACATGGATAGCAAAAGGAGCATGCAGCCTATCCATTGAAATTCTCATTCTTTCTACATGAAACAATCCTCGCTCTTTCTATAGCCCACCTTCTTTTTCAATAATACACTTTTCTAATAACATCTGTCAAGGCCACTTTTCCTGTGCTACAGTTTTTCATATATATGCGTATATGCACATACATATATGTGTGTGTGTGAGAGAGAGAGAGAGAGAGAGAGAGAGAGAGAAAGAGAGAGAGAGAGTTCCTCATCTGTCTACTGAAAGGAGAGAAGTATGTACCATGATCTGTTCTCTGGGAACAAAATTAGTCATCACATTCCATCTGAGTTCCCTGATTTTGGTGTTTTAATTCATGTTGTTCTATACATTATATATACTATTCTTCTGGCTCTTCTTTCTTTGCTTTGTATCAATTCATACTGAATTCCTTATATTTGACATTTCTTATAGTGCAATGCTATTCCATTATATTTATATGCCACAATTGATTCAGCCATTCCCCATATATGGGCATTCACTTTTGTTTTCATTTTTTTGGTTCTAAATTCCCCAACTTTAATTCTTCAGAGATTGTGGTATTTTATGACTCACAGTCATTGAGCAGCACCAAAATAATACTGTTGTTTAAAATATAGGCCTTTGGTTCATAGAAAAAGCTGGGATCAGGAAAAGAGGAGACTTCTGGGAGCCAAGATGGCAGAGTAAGCAGTAAACTGCTGCAACCCTCCCATACTCTCTCCAAACAACCATAAAATAGAGCCCCAAAACAAATCCTGGAACAGTAGAACCAGCAAAAAGACAGGGTGAAACAATCTTTTAGCCCAAGAAACTTGGAAAATTAGCAAGAAAGGTCCATCTCATATGAAGAGGCAAGAATGACCTATTACAGTGGAAGGGAAGATGGGAGGGTGGGTGATGGGCATTGCTTGAACCTTACTCTCATCAGTATTGGCTCAAAGAGGGGATAACATACACAATCAGTTGAATATAGAAATCTATCTTATTGGACATGGAAATAGGAGGGGAGGAGATTAAATAAAGGTGAGGAGAACTGATATAAGGGAGGACAGATCAGGGGAAGTGGTAGAAGCAAAACACTGGTGATGTGGGAAGGTGAAAGGAGAGAGAGGACAAACAGGAGGAAGAATAAGATGGAGGGAAATACACAGGTAGTAATCATAGCTGTGAATGTGAATGGGATGAACTCTCCCATAAAATGGAAGCAGATAGCAGAGTGGATCAAAAACCTGAATCCTATACTATGTTGTTTACAAGAAACACACTTGAAGCAGAGACACAAACACAGAGCAGATAAGGGGCTGGAGCAGGATCTATCATGCTTTCAGCTGAAGTAAAAAAAAAGCAGAGGTTGCAATCCTGATCTTAGACAAAGCAAAAGCAAAAATATACCTAATTAAAAGACATAAAGACAGAAACTACATCTTGCTAAAAGGTACCATAGACAATGAAGCAATCAAATTAGAAGAGCACGGAATAATCTACCTGTCAGATCTATGGGGATGGAAAGAATTCATGACCAAACAAGAGATAGAGAGCATTATAAAATGTAGAATAAATAATTTTGATCGTATTAAATTGAAAAGCTTTTGTACAAACAAACCAATGCAACCAAGATTAAAAGGAAAGCAGAAAGTTGGGAAACAATCTTTACAGCAGGTGGCTCTGATAAAAGTCTCATTTCTCAAATATATAGAGAATAGAGTCAAATTTATGAGAATACAAGCCATTCCACAATTGATAAATGATTAAAGGATATGAACAGGCAGTTTTCAGATGAAGAAATCAAAGCTATCTATAGGCATATGAAGAAGTGCTCTAAATCACTTTTGATTAGAGAAATGCAAATTAAAACAACTCTGAAATACCACCTCATACCAATCAGATGGGCTAATATGACAAAACAGGAAAATGATAAATGTTGGAGAGGATGTGGGAAAATTGGGACACTAATGCACTGTTGTTGGAGTTGTGAACTGATCCAACCACTGGAGAGCAATTTGGAACTACACCCAAAGGGCAACTAAACTGTCTATACCCTTTGATCCACCAATACCACTAAAGAACTTGTATGTGCAAAAATATTTATAGCAGCCCTTTTCGTGGTAGCAAAATATTGGAAACTGAGGAGATGCCCATCAATTGGGGAATGGCAGAATGAGCTGTGGTATATGAATGTAATGGAATACTATTGTGCAATAAGAAATGATGAACAGGCAGATTTCAGATTTCAAACCTGGAAAGACTTGTACAAACTGATGCAAAGTGAAATAAGCAGAATGAGGAAAACACTATATACGGTATCAGCAACGTTGTGTGACAATCAACTATGAATGATTCAGCTGTTCTCAGCAACACAACGATCCAAGACAATTACAAAGGACTCATGAAGGAAAATGCTATCCGTATACAGATAAAGAAGTGACGGATTCAGAATGCAGATCGAAGTATATCTTTTTCACTTACTTTATTCCTTCTCATGGTTTTATTTCCTTTTGATCTGTTTCATCTTCCATAACTGTTATGAATATGGAAAATATGTTTTACATGATAGCACATGTATAAACTATATCAAACTGCCTACCATTTTCAGAAGAGGGGAGGGAGGAAAAAAAATTTGGAACTCAAAATCTTATAAAAATGAATGCAAAAAATTTTTCTTAAAAATAAAATACTATTTTAATTTTAAAAAGAAGAAAAAGCTGGCATCATTAAAAGCACCATATAATTTTCCCAAAAGCAGCATAACTTGCATTTCCCTTCCTTTTGAATTCTAGGGCCGGTTTATTGTCCATTTACGTTTATCTGTTTGTAATAGTCTGTCCATGGTTCATGTCTCCAAATGAATGTCATGGGCTAGACAATAGGCATTCTAATTATTCTTCCATGCTGTGAGCATCAGATAAGTGAGACCTAAAATGGACATGTTGTCTCTTTTCTTTTCTTTATTTTTTCTTTTAAATTAAGTTTTTTGGTTTTCAAACAAAGCTCTGCCTTTTGTCTCTCTCCCTTCTCCCATTGAGAAGGCAAGTGGGGAAAAGCCCCTGTTCCAAATATGTGTAGTCAAAGAAAACAAATTCTAGCATTGACCACACGTTTAAATAATGTCTCAATCTGTATTCTTGAGTTCATTATCTTTCTACTGGGACATGGGCATACTTCATTATGAGTCCTCTGGATAAGTGGTTGATCGTTATGTTTATCAGAGTTACCAGGTCTTTCTAAGATATTTTTATAATATTGTTATTGTATACATTCTTCTCCTGGTTTTGTGCACTTCATTCTATATTCTATATCATTTCATAAAAGTTTTCCCAAGTTTCTCTGAAACTATTTCCTTTCTCATTTCTTAGAGCATAATAGTATTTCATCAAATTCATATACTGTAACTTATTCATCCATTCCCTAATTTACTGGAATCCCCCCAGTTTCTAATTTTTCACCATCACAAAAAGAGTTGCCATAAATAATTTTGTATGTATGAGTACAAGAGATGTGTTCTTGATGAGAAACTATGGGTTAAGTTGAATAATCTGAGATCTGATACAGGTAATTCAAAGAAATATATGTTCAAGGCCACTCCATATAAATAACATTAAATACTTATTAAGCATCCACTTGAGCATGACCCACTATATTAAGTGTTATAAAAAGAATTGGTCCCTTTCCTCTGGGAACTCTTAATGGAAGTCAGTCTTGGGGGTACCTACATAGATCAGTCATAAAGACAGTAGAATAAAAACAACTTTACTAATCAAGTTGCTCACAGCTTGATCGAAAGCTATACATTTTCCACATCTTCAGAAAGGAGTTGTTTAGTATTTGATGTAACAAGCAATCATGTTTAAAAGCCAAAATATTCATCTCTACTTCCTTAGTCTAATGACTATTTGGTTTTTTCCCCTTTTAATTATATTTTATTCATTGGTCAACAGAACATTTCAGAACCTACTAATATGAGAGTATTTAAATATGTGTGCCTATACTAGTCTTTCCTTTTCTCTCTTCCCTGTTTTCCTTCTTATGTCCCTTCAGTATGTATTTTGCCCTTTCCTTCATATTTCCAATTCCAAAATTAGAGGCAGCTAGATAGTATAGTGGATAGAGTGCTGGGTCTGGAGTCAGGAAGACCTGAGTTCAGATGTAGCCTCAGACATTTCCTAAGCTCTGTTTGCCTCAGTTTCTCCAACTGTAAAATGGGGATAATAATAGCACCTGCCTCTCCCAGGGTTGTTTGAGGAACAAATGGTCTCTGCTCTCAAGAAGCTAATATTTTAATAGGGGAGACAATATACAAAAATAATTACGTACATTAAAGATATATACAGGGCATATGGGAAGTAATCTCAGAGGGAAGGCACTAGCAGTAGAGAGGTGTAGGTAGGAAACTGGGAAAGGTCTCTTGCAGAAGGTAGGATTTGACATGAGTCTTGAAGGAAGCTAGGGAAGCCAAGAGGCAGAGGAAAGGGAAAAGAGCTTTCCAAG